GCAAGCACTCGGTTCCTATCCAATGGCATGACATGTCCAGGAGAGGAAGGAAGAAAGCGGAGGCAAACGAATGAAAGACGGAGAAAAATGAGAGGGAGGAGGGAAGAAAGCTTGCCTGCGTGTCAAAGCCAACGATGACGGCCACCGTTTGGAGCAATCCACGAGGTGGTGGCGCCGACAATAAGGTGGCAAGGCATCGTGGCTGAAGGGGTGATAGGCTCCAAGTCGGGCTAAGGAGATGTCTGACCGAGGCATGGCAGTGGCCTGATCCGATGTCACCATTCGCCGGATCTAGGGGGCAAATGCATACACGGTGAGGAGGGGAGAAGAGCGTTGCGCATGTGGAAAAGAAGAATATGACCGCTATCCCTTTGTTGTGTGGGCATGGTTAAGTGTATGGTAGTGCAAACTGCTATTTCGACGGTGTGTTTTTCTAGTACAAATAGTGGTTATGTAGGTTCCTTGCAAATGGGGAGAGAGATAATGCTGCAATGTCATGCAAACTTGACCAGAATAAACCTTCAAGCTACACTTAGCAAGATTGAAAAGAATATGAAGGAAAAATTCCAGTGCTACCACCTATATCTTGTGGAGAGGGGGGGGGGGGCTAATTGCCGAAACCAACAAATATGTGGTGCTACATTTATGACCTTCCTTTTATGCTAACTCTATTTTTGGCGATTTTCATTCTTTTTGGTGACTTCTGAAAATTATGGTACCAACTTAAAAAAATCTTGCCCCAATTTTTGGAATTTGAAACTTTCATGAGTTTTGAAATTTTGAACTTTCCAAAATTTAACATTTCGAGTATGAAATTTTAGAGATATTTAAAATTCAAAACTATGAATTCCAAAAATTAAATAATTGTGAACTTCCGAAAATTTAAAATTAAAAAAATGGAGCTTTCAAATTTTAGAACTATTTTGCGGGGAAAAGGCTGAAAGAAAAGCGGTCACATGTGTGGACCCTTCCTTGTGGTATGCAACCAAATCAGTTACACATAGCTCACCCCCCCCCCCACACACACACACATGTCCCTACGTCACCTCCTAAGTTGCTGACAAGACCCGGTAGCACGTTGCTCCCGGCGGCCAGCTATAACATGCTATGAAAATTCAAAAAGCTCCAAAAATATGAAAACACATAACCAAGATGTATGCATCATGCCATGCAAATTCAAATGAATATTCCATCGGAAAATGCTTAAACGGGAAAATAACTTTTGAAACTCATGTTCTTTTGTCTTCATCGAAGTATTCGTAGGCTTGGCCACATGGAGGTGTCAATGTAACCTCTCTTGACTACACATAGAGATACTTCTTTTTCTTTGCAAAAGAGCACCTGACTCAATATATTAGAAATCTATCATTACAGAAACACCCCAGCAAAAAAAATAATGCAAGTAAACCCTTGGGGAACCATCTATTGTTAACCATTACAACTAGTAGATGGCATGCTACATCCACCTCTCTCCTTTTGCTAGAGCCGGCCTGCCATTTTTTCATGGATAGGAAATCATTAATACTTCATCATGTTGGGTTGGTATCCTAGGGTTGAAGCTATCGATGGATCTATAGAGGCTGCCAAAATCATCCCGAGCACCATAACTCACAAATCCGCCATGATTCTCTACGGAGGACAAAGAAGGGAATATCCACTATAAGGCTCCATATGCGGTACTATTCCACACATAGACCCTAGTAGTCCATTTCTGGAATAGAAGCACATATAGTGTCGTCGTAAGCATATGAGTTCATGTCATACATTCATTGCCATATGCCACGGTCTTTACAATTTGAATATCCCCAAAATTCCACTACCAAAGAGGCAACATATATATGATTATTATGTCTTTGTCACCTGGGGGCAATGTCACCCTCCTGGCTTCCGTCTAATCTCGCTTTGAGATCCATGTAGCATCTTCTAGGTCTGCCATTGACTAGTCTTCCAGTTGTCTATTTACACTGAGACGAGTTCATTAGTACTAGATAGTACCAAGATTGAATGTTGATACTATGTGTACGCATGGATCTATTTTCAGGGAATCTGTTTTGAGTTCATGGGGAACTCCATTTAGGTAATATAAGTTCTAATCACCAACCAACTTTTTTTACTATTGCAGAAAGTTAGTAAGTTATAATAATTTTATACTATTAGGGAATCTTTTCGGTTAAGTATCGATGATCTCACATTATGATGCCCCAAGTTTGACACATACTCTTCTAGGATCATATTAGTGTGATTGTTAGCATGCTCATTAACTGAATCCTGATGGAGGAATGACGTTAGCACAATGTTTGCACAGATCACGAGGCATGCATTGAACGGAGATTACATGGGGTGGCACTGTCACCCACAGGGGTGGCATAGTCACCGGGTGTTAAAAAATCCACACTAATATATATAGGGCATACAAGTGCCAAGATCCAAATTTATTATACGAAGAGACCAAATAGTCCAACATTCATCATCATAATAGAAGTCTCAAATAGCCCGAGTACAGGGAAAAACCAATGATGTTGAAGAGGCAGAAAATGTAAAGCAGCGGTCCAATCCCATTGGTTCCAGGCTACCGGTCGGGTCTTGCTAACTACTCGTCATTGTCACAGAACTCCATGTAGTGACACTCTGTCTCGGCATCCTAGTTGAAGTAGTAAAATGTACCTATTATTGATGTTGTTGTGGCAAAGGTGAGTACTTTTGGTACTCAGAAAGTCTCATTACCGAAGGTACTAGAACTAACAATACTTAACCGACTAAGTAATATTCCACACTTATGTCTATTAAATTCAAGTTGAGAAAACATTCAATAAGGAGATCATATACTAGTCATCTATTTGCGTACCTACGCCATCATAAAACTACTTTGTCCTCCCCTTCATATAGCCCATGAAGAAGAGACAACCAAGGCATGCACATTTTGGCAAGTTTTAATTAAATTGGTTAAAGTTGTTCTATGAACCAATATTAAGCTCCTCATCGTCCATAACCTTGGACACGGATTTTTCAAAGATTTAACCCTGTAGTGGTGTCCCACTGACCCATTATAGGTATACGTACATGTTCACTCCGCTCAACTGGATAACCAACAGATTTGTAATGACATGACCCTCTAACTAATCACAATAAAATCTGGGGCCAACCCGGTGATTCAACCCCGAATCGAGAGTCGGTCGTATCTCTGAATCGGACTCTACTATATTGCTAGAGCGTCGAGGTGGCTAGTACTAAGTCCCAGTTAGGCACTCAAAACTTCACAGATGTGGACCAACAACAGGGAGTTCCACCCAACTGGCCAAAGTTATTTAAAAAAAATCCTTGAGGCTGAGGTCCTCAGAAACACAACACCAAAAGGAGAATGCAAAATCATCTCGAGCCACCCGGAGCTCTAGATGCGCTAAACATAGGATCAGCGGAGCCACATGGGCCCCATGAGGCACCAGGGCACGCCAGGGGGTGGTCGCGCCCTGGTGGCTCATGGGCCACTTGTGGGTCCCCTCCTGTAGGTCTTGGCTCCAGTATTTTTTATATATTCCATAAAAAATCTCCAGAAAGTTTCGCCCAATTCCCAGAACTTTTATTTCTGCACAAAAACAACACCATGGTAGTTCTGCTGAAAACAGCATCAGCCTGGGTTAGTTTCATTCAAATCATGCAAATTAGAGTCCAAAACAAGAGAAAAAGTGTTTGGAAAAGTAGATACGATGGAGACATATCATGGATGCACTAAGAGCTATAAGTGTATGAAAGCTCAAACTAAAAACTAAGTGGACGTGCATCCAACTTGCTTGCTCTAGATGACCTCAGGCATTTGAGAAAGCCCATCATCGAAATATACAAGCCAAGTTCCATAATGAAAAATTCCCACTAGTATAAGAAAGTGACTACATAGGAGACTCTTTGTGAAAAACATGGTGCTACTGTTGGGGAGCGTAGTAGAATTTT